ACATATCTTTGTTTCGTAATAAATTCGATTTGTTCTATTTTTAAACAATGCGTATTAATGTGAATGTCTATAATATAATTTTCTCTTTCATCAACATTCAACATTAATGAACAGTATAAACTATAAAGTTAGCAAGTACAATAATATAATTTTCCTATTCTTACTCTATGCCCTATGGTAATATTTAATATTTTTATCAGATGTTATTATTTTTATTTTACCTTTCCTATTGGCTTTTCTGACTGTGACATTTTGCTAATTGTGTTTTAATTTATGCAATAATATATAATATAATAATTATTATTTATATCTAAACGAAATGTCGAAAGTGGCCGCTTCAAAAAACAAAAACAAAAATAATGGATTAAGATTTGTCAAGTAAATGTGACAACGATAAAACTCAAAAGAAGTTGAAAAAGTTGTGATTTTCACAATAACCAAAACATTTTTTTTTAATGGAAAACATACTTGAAGTATTTTATAATAAATTTAATAATTTAGTATCTAAAAATTAGCTACCAAAAATGGTGTTATAAATTATACACCAGAAACTAGTTTTCAGTATGTAAAGAAAATTGAATATCAATCACTGATCTACATACGGAACAAAAAATTTCCTTAAGCCAAGCTTTTGCATCAAATTCATCAACCGGTGGGCAATTGTATATAAGATGTAATTGCAAAACGTAACCTATGTCAACATTAACCAAAATCCTGATGTAAATGTCAACATCTACTAGTACATGTCTATATTATTTACATTTTTCAACATTCACCAATTTAGTAGGTGAATGTCGACATTCACTAGGTGATTGCCAGCACTCACCAATTGCGGACATTCACAGTAACATATATATTGTGACTGGCTTGGTGTTGGGACGGGGGGAGCTCTCACTGTATAATTTTATTATTTTTTGTACTATTATTATTATTGTGTACTACTTTGTATTATAACCATGTACTATGTATTTGTTTTGTATTCATACAATGATTTATTACATGAACCATATTATGGTCATTTGTTAATTATTTTTAATCATAAGCTATTATATAAGTGTATCGCTATGCACTTGCTCAGTTGCTCATGCATTATTATTAAAAAAAAAAAAAGTACAACACGGATATTTCGTCTAGGCGACAAGCAGCTGAGTGTGTCCATCATCTTCATACAGAGCTACGTCGTGTGTCCCGTTCTCCTTCGGTGCGAAATGAGGCAAAGCTAACCGACGTCTCGTACTCTCGTCATACTTCCTCCTAGCGGCGCATCGGACGCAGCATTTTGCGAGCTACATGTCCCCGGCACCCCCACTTCGAAGTTTTGAAATTCGAAGTAGCCCAACCGTTTGTGCTTGATAAAAAGCACAGACAAGCACAAACGAAGCACAAACGATTGGGCTACTTATTCGAATTTCAAAACTTCGAAGTGGGGGTGCCGGGGACATGGAGCTCATTTTTCGAGGTGGTTTACCCGCTCCGCTGTCGTCCAGCGCCGGGTTGTTCGCCGTTGAACACCTGCCGTAGACTGTCGCCGGCGTCCAAGTGGTCTGTTCTGGGCGGTCGAGCTAGCCAGTCGGCTGTCCGCCGCGTGCCGTTTTTTTTGTGTGCCACTGAGCATTACATCAAATAGTAAATGGCGATAGTTGGCGAGGTGTCCGGGCTCGTGATCCGATTTTCGCTCATAGCAGTTTTGTCGTCACATTACGCATACGCGTGATGCAAGTACCAATACTTTACGTACACATTACTCACTTAAAAATTAAAATATAGGAGAAAAACCAACAAGAAAACATAGATTATATTCTTACCTAAAAGTACGATAATCGGCAAATTCACTCTCACATCAAAACCAATATAGCACTGTAGGTATTGAAACTAGTGAACGAAAATTGTTATGTCGTACGTGTGTAAGACGGAAACAATACATGCGGGTGCGACGTCCTCTTAATAATATTTTAAGTACATATTAAGTAACAAATACAATCGATTTGTATAGGTACAGAATATAGAAATATAAAGTAATAATAATTGTATTATGAAGTATGAACATTATACTGTATGTCTGTATACTTATTAGTTATTACTTATTATATTAATACTGTTATGAAGTATATTTGCTTAGGCACTAAAGAAGTTAGTTAAAAAAAAATATTTTGTTCATTATGACTATGAGAAACGTTATTAAAATATAATAATAATATACTAGACTATAATATCATAATAATAATGTTCAAAAAGTTTTGGAATCTGTCATTTTTTTTTTCGTTGGCTAAAATGATGACTTATGTTGAAAAAAATAAATAATAGAACAATAAAATTAAAAAATGAATGATATTAGTAAATATTTAAAACATAATTAAAAATACTCCTGGTTAAATTGTATCGAAAAAAAATTGATTGACAACATCTCTGTAGTCTGTAGGTTGTTTTACTTTTGTAATGAATCCATTCAAAATTGTTAATAGCCCAAAAAAATATTTTCTGTTAGAAAATTGAAGTGCTATTGTAAAATATTATTAGGTGCTCCACTTTATCATAAAATACCATAATAATTCGTAATAGTTTAATAATCAGAACATTGAGAATGCTTATAAGTTAGGTGCTTGACGCTGGCACCCTCAAGTTTGAAATTCAACCCAAAAACCACATCAGTAATTGTTATACAATTTGTACAAATTTGTAACCACAATTCCAAAATTTGTACACCACCCCGTCACCTTTAAAATCCAAAAACGATTTCCGGTTATAAGTTATAACAGTCATAAATAATAATATTAATAATAATAATAATAATAACAACATTAGATCTAAAAGGCCGTATTTAGGGTGCACTAGTACCCCAGGTACAATATATCATAGTCACCAAAAAATGTATATAAAATTAGCTTAAGAATTAGCTTAAGAATTAATGTTAAATTTAAATTTAAATTAAAACAAGCAGGTAGTTTAAATATTTAACCTTGAGTATTATATGAACTATCTTATTACTACTATTAATATACATTTTATTGTTGTACACTATCGTCACTATCGACAAGATATTGTTACTTATAGTAAAATTCTTCAATTTGGATATATTGATATTTCATATTTTTACAGTTTGTGAATAGGCACTATAATATAATGATTGAGTCTATGTTTCAAATCGTAATAATGAAAGGTTTTTTTTCAGTATCCAGAATAAACATTAATAAAATGTAAATGAGTATGATAAAACTACTACTTAATAACACAAAAAAATTTAGTTTTGCTGCACTATATACAGTAGGTGATCACTGCATCTAAGTAATATTTGTTGGTAGGACATTGTAATGTATGTGTAAAATTTGAATTCAATGAAAAATCATTCATAATTGTAACTATTTACATAATGATTCAAATTTGTCGTATGTACAATAGACGATTTTGAGCGGAGACTGTTGGCCCATATTTATGAAAGTATATTTTATTGCAGATTTATATTGCCATTAGTAATTAGTGTACTTATAATAGTTAAATATTATGGCAGGTAGAACTATTTTTTCCCCTTTAAAAATTGAATTTATTATTTGATAATATTATTATAATAAGTATTAAGTATTGTTTCATAAAATATTACTCGCCGCCCGTGCTCCGATCGCACTATTGAAGTTTTTTAAGAGCCGCCGATATTCGGTTCGTTTGCGAGTTCGGTCCGTAGCCTCCGCAGTCGCGTTCGCAATCCAAGCGCGCTTAAGTCTGTACCTATATGGCTACATACATATATCTATATACATGTGCATCGTGCATGGTGCATGTATGCATGTCGTTTTAATAAAAAATAAATAAATTCAACAAAGTACATAAAATTGCGTTGTGTTTGTCGTTTGTTTACCATAGTATAACATATATGAGCGAGGCTTATAATCGAATACCTTTTGATCGAACCGTAGGTTTTATTTGATAATTAGAAATTTAATGTAGCACACAATTCGTGCAATAAGCCACAGTTATTAAATTATCGAAATATACACCTGAAAATCTTTTATTTTTTAACAACATATGTTAGAAATTGCAGTGTATTCGCATTTCGTATGTTACCGACATGTCTGTGATGACATTTATGAATTATGATTTATATGCGATATTAATTGTGATATCATTTCGGTAGTTCAAATTAAATTTGAATAAATTGTATTCAACATTTATATATATATATATACACTATATTAATGAGTGAGGTTTTTAATGAAATACCTGCTCGGTCGAACCGTATGTTGCTCATATTGGTAATATTAGATATTTAATTTAGCAAACAGATATTATATTTATGCATCAAAATAAACACCCGATTACATGTTCGTGTATATAATTCCGTATAAGTTGAGCAGGTCGGTCAATGTTGTTAAATAATACAATATTCTTTGATGTTGTACCTATATATTAAACAATGTGTTATTTATTAGTCGGTTGAATGATATCTATGTCCGTCGATACTTATGCGTCAGGTAGTGATTTTTCGTCAAGGTTTCCAAAACTAAGACCAAAATATGGCAGAATAATTTAAAATTACACTTGCCCTTATTTCCCAGCCCAAATTGTAAACCTCTAAAAATTGACACCCGACGAGTTAGAATCGATGGACATTTGTTGTGAAACAAACTATAAAAATGTATGTTATACTTTGAATACATTTTATAATTCAATAAATGTACACATTAATTAATTTATTAATTTTCTGATTAACTTTAGAGTACACATCTCGCTGTATTTGATTTAATAACTCGGTTTGGTGATAATTTGATTATAAAACTTATACAATTCGACTATCGGCCAACAACGACAAAGATTTTACATTTATTGAACAATAATACCTATGTCTATTAGGAAACACTAAATTTGGACTGCTATGAACGGTATGTTGGATTAGGGGTGAAACAGAGCAATAATTTTGTTACCATCTGTCAGTCGTCCAAACGAACAAGTCTATAATAAAATAAGTTGTAGTTTTGAAATACATGGATATAATGATTAAACAAAAACCGATTACAAATTATGGTATGTATTTAATCATGAACATAAGTTTTGTAATTTTCACACAAAAATCAGTTTTATATATAGTGAACATCATAATTTAATAACTGCGGCCAAATAAGGTGAAAGACCCAGCCAACTGCCCACATTCTGGATGTAAACACTGATCATTAGATTTTAATATTTCTGCTCCCGTAGGCTGTTCAAATGGCACACATAACGACTTGGCTCCCATTGTTGAAGCTCCAACTTCTGCAGTACCATCATCCCTATAAAATAATTAATACAAAAATATTAAATAATAGTAAATCTTGAACTAATGTGAATAAAATATGTTCATACAATGTGGTATCCCGTTTGATATTATCCTCGCAAATGGGTCGTCCACAAAACGGTATCAATAATAAACGTTTTGCTGCTAAATGTGGAGCACACTCAGACCATTTACGACATATCACAACATTTTCTTTCATTTCCTGTTCTGCTTTGAGGTACATATCTTGCTGTATTTGATTTAATAACTCTGTTATTCTTACAACCATCTTATCGTTTCCACCATCATCTTTTGTACGTCCCTCTAAGGGAATAGTTAGTTTCTCTCCATTATCTCGCCGCACAGCTACCATTTGGTTACGATCCAAATCTTTTGGTCCAATTTCTAACCTCAATGGAACCCCCTAAAAATCAAATTTTACAATAACAATATTGGATTATACATAATTTAAAAATGAATAATTAAATACTTTCAACTCCCAGTGGTTAAACTTCCATCCAGGTGAATAATTATCTCGTAAGTCAGTATCCGCTCTTATCATTGAGGAAGAATTGCGATGTTGGATAATGCTATTGTCGATTTCATCATCATTTTCTATCACACTATCTCCTTTTAATCTGTTGCATACATCTAAACAAGTTTTAGTCAAATTTTCTTTGACTTCGTTTGCTGTACTAACACCTACACCACACGGTACTATAATTACCTAAATTTAAACGTAATATGTTTAATAAAATAGCAACCTATAGCTAATTTAAAATTCATGATAAATTTTTGAGGACTGTATGTTTACTTGAATAGATGCTATGCGTGGAGGCAAAACAAGCCCACGGTTGTCGCCATGAACCATTACCATAACACCAATAGTCCTAGTTGTCATTCCAAATGAAATCTGATGAACAAATGTTTTCTCATGTGTGTCTGGATGTTCAAAATGAACATCAAACATTTTGGCAAAATTGGTACCCAGATAATGTGAGGTTGCACCTTGAATTGCTCGACCGCTAGATGCTACATATGCTTCACAAGTTGTAGTAAACTCTCCTCCAGCAAACTTTTCTTTTTCAGTTTTTTTACCTTTTATTACTGGTACTGCCAATATATTTTTGTACACATACTCATAATAACCTAAAAATATCACAAACCAATAATCAATTTACAAAAACATTAATTATAATCATTTTTTTAACTAACCTAATGTTATTAATACGTCACGTTCTGCTTCTTCTCTAGTTGCATACGCATTATGACCTTCTTGCCACAAAAACTCTCTAGTTCTCAAGAAAGGTTGAGGGTGTTTAAATTCCCACCTCTGAAATAAATAAATTTTATGATAAAATAAATTTCGTCCATATATTTTATACATTAAATGTAAACAAATAATATACCACAACGCTGTTTCATTGATTGAGTTTCAATGGCAAGTCCCTGTAAGATTGAATCCATTTTGCAAAAGCTGGATACATACCAGTTTCACTGGTTGGTCTTATGGCAATAGGTTCAGCTAAATCAGTTTCACCAGATTTGGTAACCCAAGCTACCTATTAAGACATTAAATTCATTAGGTCAGTTAACAACAATCTTATTTCATGTTCTATGTTGTTCTAATTTTACCTCTGGTGCAAAATCTGCAATGTGTTTTTTTTCTCTTTCTAATGCTCCTTGTGATACAAACATTGGGAAGTAACAATTTCGCACATTCAGAGGGTTTTTTTTAATCCGTGCATCGAACCATTCTTGTATTAATTCCCATATTCTGTAAGCCCAAGGCCTGAGCACGTAACATCCACTTACATCATAATATTCAATCATTTCACCTTTAACCAACACTTGAGAATACCATTCTCCAAGATTTTCCGATACCTTTAGTACTTCCAACCCTAATTTTGTTACTTTTTTGGTATTCGTGCTATCTGATGATTTATTATTGGTCACAGCAACATTCTCTTTTCCCTTCGATTTTTTATCCTAAAATGTTTCATTTTACATATTTAAATTATATAAATTATAATTGTTCAAAGGATTAAATGTATCATACAAGTAAATTAAATTAATATTAAAGTGAATAATTTTCAATTTTTATTTATTTATTAGTTTTTAAGTTTTTTATTTTATGTTAATTAAAAGGTTCTCAATGATTCTAGTAAATATTAAGTGCCTTATGCAATTTGTTATAATTTTGTTTATTATATATATTATTCAGAAACCAATTACATACTTTTGAAGCATTACTGTTTTTCACCGACCGTGTTGGATCTTTTTGTTCATTTATTTTAGTAACTATTACATCACCTGGAGATTTACCTAATTCAGAGCTAGGTTTGTTTGCCTGCTGTGGAGTAGGAATACCACCAGCAGGAAAATCAACTCCAGCAACACTTTTATATTCTGCTTTCAATGCCAGAAGAACTTTCACAGCTTCTCCAATGTCCGTCTACATAATAAAAAATTATTTATTGTATAGAACTAATAACATAGTATTTTGATTTTAGGTTTTTTACATAGAAAAGTCCAAATGTTACGTACTTTAGAAGCTTTATTGCTCTTCATCGATCGCACTTTATCTCCTTGTTCATTAATTTTTAATACAATATCATCAACTGGAGATTTACTTATTTCAGAGCTAGGTTTGTTCGCCTGCTGTGGACTAGGAATACCACCAGCTGGAAAATCAACTCCAGCAACTTTTTTATATTCTGCTTTCAATGCCAGAAGAACTTTCACAGCTTCTCCAATGTCCGTCTACATAATAAAAAATTATTTATTGTATAGAACTAATAACATAGTATTTTGATTTTAGGTTTTTTACATAGAAAAGTCCAAATGTTACGTACTTTAGAAGCTTTATTGCTCTTCATCGATCGCACTTTATCTCCTTGTTCATTAATTTTTAATACAATATCATCAACTGGAGATTTACTTATTTCAGAGCTAGGTTTGTTCGCCTGCTGTGGACTAGGAATACCACCAGCTGGAAAATCAACTCCAGCAACTTTTTTATATTCTGCTTTCAATGCCAGAAGAACTTTCACAGCTTCTCCAATGTCCGCCTAAATTTATAGAAATTGGTATTAAAATTGACTATAAAAACTATTAATAAGGAAATAAAAAAACCATTCCTAGTGATAAGAGGCTTTTAATGATTTGGGATGTTCAAACAATTTTACATACTTTGGAAGCTTTACTATTTTTCATTGATCGGACTTTATCTCCTTGTTCGTTAATTTTTAAGACAATTACATCTGTAGAAGGATTACTTTGTTCAGAAGTAGAGTTACTAACTATCCCTGGTGTGGGAATTCCACTAGCAGGAAAGTCAGTCCCTGTACAATTCTTATATTCTGCTTTTAATGCAAGTAAGACTTTCTCAGCATCTCCTAAGTCAGCCTAAAATTTAAAATATGTCATTAAGACATTTGTAAATTTTTAGTTATCAGTTGATTAAAATCTATATACTAATGAGTAGAGCGAGGACTTTCATGTTTATGAATATTTTTATTTTGTATGATTATATGATATGCTTAGAAAGCACAAATTACATACACAAAGTTTGTAAGCTTAACTAAAATTTCAATTTAGTAAATTAGTTAATATTACATTAAAATGTGATAATAGTCTGATTATTATTTGGCTAAATTTTTTTTTTTTAGCATATGTTAAAGCGTATTTTTTTAAAAATTGTTAATATATTAAGTCCTTACTTAAGAAATGAGTATAAAAAAAGTGTAAGAATTGTTACATCAAAATTGTATAACTTTTTGAATATGTCTATTATATTAATAGTACTACAATTTTGTTTACCTGCAGTCAATTAAATAAATTAAAATACTGAGTCGTTAGAAAATTTAAATGACATAAAAAAAAATTCATCATACCTTCATAACATGTACTTTATTAGCTTGATCATTTATCTGACTGATTACAGTGTCGACATTCTTGTTTGTATTTTTCTATAATAAAAGCAAAATTACAATAATTTTCTAAAATGGTTTTACTAAAATGTCTTCAATTAAGACATCGTACATAATTAATAAAAATTCATCATGACACGGACATAGGGAAAATATTATTGTAAATCACAACTAAATAGAAGTTTTTAAGGTGAGCTTAGTCATCAAAACAGCACTTCAAAATTTTTTTTCATTACAGATTAACAGCTGAACAGTTTTCTAGGCTCCCAGTAAAATTCATACAAAATTCAAAAATAACTTGAACTAGTAACTCAAATTTACAACAAATTTTACAAATACAAAATAAATACAGATACTTAAATTTGGGTGGCAAGAATATACATTTTGAAAAACAAAGAAAACTTAGTTCATGCATATAATGCCAAAAATCCATCAAGTTAATCAAAATCACTGATTATCTAATGATTACCAACTCTGAATTGTAACCATTTTTATATTAATATTGGTATATTTAGTTTTAATTACCTTGTTGGTGGCGGTTGGTAAAGGAACGGTAGTTATTGGAATAACTGATTTTGTGTGACCATCAGGAATGTTAAACAACACTAATGGTGTTTCTTTCCCCGTGTGTATGCTTAAAAAAAAAAACATTTTTTTTTTTTAATTTTAAACATTTAAGCCAACATTTTACGTTAACTAATTCTTACCTATATGGCTGATACGTTGAATCACATATGAAATAACCTCTGCGTTGTAACTGAATCACATCTCCTTTCTTTAAATCTTTCAATTCTGAATCACCTAACATTTGCAATTCCCAACGACTATTTTCTATATTTAAGTATTGCTTGAAATCATCATCCTTGGCTAATACTGCTTTACTTATTAAATGATCAAAATAAACACAAACAACTGGTACCAAAATAGGTAAAACTTCGTCAGATTCTGAATAATCAGTTTTTGGCAGCCACGTAACTTTCACTGTAGATTTAAAATCTGTGTTTTCAAGGTCAGACACTGCATGAATTCTCTCTATTTTATTATTTTGGTTCCTAAAAAAGAAAATATACAAATAATGATCCATGTATTACTAAAATTTAACATCAATTACCTTTCTACGCGATTTATCATAAGATTGCCCCAGTTAATAAATGTTGCTCGACGTCCAGCTTCTAATAACTCTGCATCACTATAATCTATAAGAATTTTAGGTGCAGCCCAGACACAATTCTTTAATCCTAATTGAGAATTTTTAGGATGTTTAGGGACATTGTCAATTTTATATGGTTTTTTTACATTCTCTACCACAACTTCAACTGGTGGATAAGATAATACTTTATTTTCTTTATTTGAATTAGATAATAACAAAGCTGTATGCCTTGGTGCTATTGAATCAACAATACTACGGTTCAATGACCAAATTTTATCCCATTGCATAGCTGTAACAGTTCTGGAAGAACCTTGGGCCACTATGAATTGTTTCAATGCTTCCACCTGCATTCCTCTCCTGAAAACACCACGGACAGTCGGCATGCGTGGATCATCCCTTAAATAAAAAAAAAAAATAGATTTAATTATACATGGTAACAACATTTTAAAAGACCTGTGATTTTAACTAGAAAATTATAAAAAATATAATTATATACTGTTATTTATTAAAGTAGATACATTTATCAATTTACTAACCATCCATCTACATGGCCTTGTTCAACAAACCAAGTTAACTTTCTTTTCGACAAAACCGTATTAGTCATATTTAATCTTGAATACGACCATACATAAGGTCTGGTTTCATTGCTGCGAGTACCAAGCTTCAATGCATCACAAAACCAATAATATTGTGCATCACGATCAGTATACTCTGTGGTACGTAAACAATGAGTAACACCTTCAATACTATCCACAATAGGACAAGCAAAGTCATAAGTTGGATATACCCTAAAAGAAGTTCATACAAAATAACGTATTAACGAAAAATAATAAAATAAAATATAATTAATAATTTTTAAATTAGAAAAATAAAAACGTCAAATAATCTTTTTTTTTATATAAAAGGCGCTAGTATAGACTATGATAGCTAGACAATTACATAATTCAAATAATCTTACATTCACCATTTATTTTAATTTACTGATATTAATTGAATAGATCACATAAGTTCTATAAAATAATTTGTTTTTAAAGTCCTTACTTATACTTGTCACCAGTTCTAGGATTGTGTTCAGGTTTGCAACGATATATTGTTGGATCTCGCAAACATCCATTTGCTGATTGCATATCAATTTTAGCCCGAACACAACACTTTTGACCAATTTCTGTACCTAAAACCATTTGTTTCCACAATTCTAGGTTCTTCTCGATTGCTGAAATAAAAGTAAATTAATTTTAAAAGTGTATAACATGGTCAGTGTCCAATCAATATGCTCTAATAACAATATCTCTGATAAAGATTAACTTTTTATTAAATGGTCCAGATAATGAAATTAATAACTAAGATTTTTAGCATTTGCTTGCATAGTCTGTCAATCCATGTAGCAGATGTTTCTACTATTTTTTTTACCACTCACCCTTAAAGAGTATACATACTGACAAATTCACAAATTAAACAGACAAAGGCAGACAATTATAATGTATTCTAATGTGAAGATAATTTTAAATTCTAGCAGTTGAGAAGTAGTTTTTAGAAAATAATTAAGGAGTCTTTTTGGTCACTAGATGCTTTAAAATAATACTTCAGGGCTACCGGTATTTTTGGTATGCTGAAAATATTAAGCAACCAAAAATACTGGAGTACCGGTTTACTGTTACATACCGGTATCAACTTCATTACTGAAATACCGGGATCAAAACTCAAAATCGAAAGCCCCCTAGGTGTGCCTATAGCCTTACGTTTATGATTTTTTGTAAATGCTTTTAATTATAATACAAAAGGCATCAACTTTAATTCAAAACTTCATGAGGTACTTAAATATTGAGTATTTTAAATAATTTTTTTTAAAGAGATTTAAATCAGAAGACTTACAGTTGTTTCGATTTATTGAATCTACCCTTTGTTCACGTTCCAAACGTATTTTATCTCCATCTGTGTCATCCACATAAGCTAAGCCTTCTTTTAACATTCCATTCTCACATATATCTAACATTTTATCAAAATGATCAGAAGTATATGTAAAAGTATCGGGTTTAATTTTCAACATATCAACGTCTTCTAATATAACCTTTAACAAAACAAAATAAATCGCATAACTCATTATTTAGTACACGGTTTTTATTTTAATATTCATATTAAAATAGAAGAAAAAACAAACCATACAAATTAATAAAAATAAGATTAAGAAATTGTTCCACAATTTATAATAAGATGTATATTATTATTTTACCTTCTCAAAATCTTCCTTTTCCTTTGCTGGATTTGTATCATCAAAACGCATTATGAGACGGCCATTAAAAGCTAATTGATAGTGTTGATTTAATAGAGCAGCTTTAGCATGTCCAATATGCAAATACCTAAAAACAATGTATTATTAATATTTAATTAACTAAAAAGCATATAGGAAAATGTACAAAATACATAGGCACTAACCCGCTTGCTTCTGGGGGAAACCTAACGACAACTTTTCCCATTTCAGCTCCTGGTAATTCCACAAACTTTCCCTGTTGTTTGCTGTTGTCCTCAACAGACTTTTGAGATTTTGATGCAGAACTAGAACCTATGCAATGCATTAATATATTATTAATTATTACCTATATAACTTTAACAGCTTATTTAATGTTTTTAATTTTTTTTGTTAATCTAACATTTTTGAATACTTAAGATTCGATAAATACAATATAGATCATTTTTTTATGAAGTTAAGATATTAAGTATGTATAATAAAATGTACAAATTGCTATAATATAATTGTTATATTATAGATCTCGAATAACTATAAACTATCTTTGTTATAAATAGTAATACTATTAATTACACAGAAAAATAAATACATATATACAAACATAATCAACCAAAGAAATATAAAACCAAATGAATAAGCCATACAAGTAATTTACATAAAACAACAATTTTTAACTATTAACTGGAACAAGTTTTCTTCAATTAATTTTAAAAAAAGGTTAAAAAGTTAAAATGAATTAATAACACAATCAAAAACAAAAATTCATTAAAATTGACATTAGGCAAGTACAATTTACAAATATTATAGACTGGTTATTTATAATTGGGAAAATTAATTAGTCCATTGGACATAGTGTAAATAGGCACATCACAAAGTAGAAAAGCCAATTATGTGCTCTTAGCCTCTTACGCTGGAGCTGTAATAAAATTATTTAAGACAAATATGAGTTAAAATATAATTATTATTTTTTTTTTAATTTTGAGAGCAAGTTATAGTTTATATTTGATTATTTTTCACGCACTTGAAATTCAAACTCTGTTATGAAAAGTATGTTTATTATAAGTTATTAAATTTATAATTTTTAACAAAAAAGAAGGCAAAATTTTGTCTAGCCTAACCTGATTGGCAGCTGTGTCGGTATACTAACATAGTAATATAGTAAAATATACATCACTAAATAGTTAATGTTGAGATACAAGAATAATTTGTATTTATGTTAGCACAAATATAAGAAAAATCTATACAGTCTTGTAGCCAGATAAATAATCACAAAACTGAACATGTCTAAAATTTCATAACAACTGCATTAAAGAAAAAATCTTACCTTTTTTTTTTGCATTTTTATTTTGC